GCTTTGCATGTGATAATTTTCATAATCTGATGCAATTATGTCTTGACTACATTCTGAGAAAAGTATTGAAATACCCCGTGAGTCTTTGTTTATATTTTTAAATATGTAGCATAATTGGAAATACAATTTTTAAATGTATAAATATATAAAATTTCTGTAAGGAACAAGTTTTATTTTGGTTATTAGAAAAACAAGGTTAATACAAAAATGTTTACTTAGAATTTCTGTAATATTTGAAGTTTAAATTTTATTTATTTAAAATAAGTTTCCAGGAAACTTGGGGGAAAAAATGTGAGGAAGTAAATACAATCTTTGTTTTGAAGTTCAAAAAGTTTCTCTTATTCTATTTGGTTGCAAAATTTTTGGCATACTTGCACCACAGTTTAGCTTCTAGACATGACTTCAAATCTGTGTTCAGATCAGAAAAATTGAGCTGAGTTCTTTGGTTTACTAAATCTCAGTACAGCTAAATCTAGCATTGGTGGATTTGGTTTGCTTTCAGGACGCAGCTAAATGATATTACTGCAAGACGGTACTGAGCTAATAGCTCTACTTCTGTTTAGTTTGTAGCAAGGAACTGTTGTCGTGCATTCTTAAGGAATTTCTTTATCTCTTTGATGAAAGGTTCAATAATGGTTATCCTTCACTGACCACTTGCTGTGTGCCAGCTATGCCATATGTTTTACATATATTAATTAATTTAATCCTCACAATGATAACGAGAGATTGATGTTAACCTCCATTTTATAGGTAAAGAAACTGAAATTTAGAAAAGTTGATCAACTTGCCCCATATCTCCTAACAACTGACAGAGTTGGAGTTAGAATCAAGTCTAGCTGACACTGCAGCTACTTGCCACTGAGCTACGCCTTCTCCCATTGCTTTTTCAAGAGTGCCCTGTGAAAGGGAGACATAATAACTGAATGAGAACACGTGGAGAAGAGCAGGATAGAATCACTGCGATGGGAATTGTCTTAAGGAGTCTGGGGCATGTATGACTGCCTGTAGTCTACAGAACAGCCACTGACCAGTAGGAAAAGGTTTGCAGAGGGGATAGGACTGTGGGTTGGCTTCCAGGCCCCCTCCCTCTGCATCCCCAACCACTAATCACCCCAGATAACCAGAGGGTATAAAGAGTGGTCCACTAACGCATATGGGAATTGGGAAGGTGCTACTGAACAGAAGCATGGCAGAAGACCCACTCTGGAAGAAGAGACCAGAATTCAATGGTGAAAAGGAACTACTAAAGCAAAAGGTGACCCAAAAACAACTTCTCTTAAAGTTAGGGGGCTTTGAGAGAAATAGCAATTCCTAACCACTCCATTGGAATTGGGATTAAAGGGTTCCTAGCAGGTGCTCTCTTTGAAAAGAAGTCTGGCTGGAGAGAAGCCAGGAGGAGTAAATGCTGCAAGCTGTGGCCTCACAGCACCATCATCTTGGTTGACAAACTCTTAATAGTTAGAGTCTCCAATGTAGTCTGACCTGGATTTGATCCTTTCAGGGCATTCTTCTCTCGTGTGGGTATAGCCACAGTTACTGCTGCAAATGGAAAAGTTTAGTAGGCAGTGCGGTCTATACACTCAGACTCATGTCAGTACTGACAAATGCCCAGCCTCAGAGCAGCTTTACGAATATATTTCTTCTGGGGTTATGGGAATCATTGCTCATCCTTGTCTCGTTTTTATTTATTTTCCAATATACAAGTCCGCATGTTGAATTCGTTGTAACTAATTTGTGCATATGGACAGAAAGATTGGATTACTAAGTATGTGTTTTAAGCAAATTATGTAAAATTAGCTAAGAACTAAGCCACTTGGCTACTTGTAGAGGCTAACGAGCATATGATTAGTATTGAACAAAAGATTTTTATTTGAGACCCTGGAGAAAAAGCATGTTTATCTTTTTTAAATGTCTGTGAGTTGGTGGATCTTTCAATATTTAATATTTTTAAAGAATTTTTGAGGAAATTTTAAAATAAAAATACAAAGGATAACATCACACACCTATGTACCTACCATCTAGAATTACAATTAGTAAAATTTGTCACTTATTCTTTAAGATTTTTTTAATTAAAAAAAAACACTGTAGAGAAAAATGAAATTCTGTTTGACATATTACCCCCAGTCCTATTCTCTTCCCCCATCTGTCTAATAACCTCTATGGATATCTTTCCAGTCTCTTTTGAATACTTTTATATCTGTGTACATAAACATGCGTCTGTACGTAAATACAGATATATGTTATTTATGTTTATATACTCGTGTATGTATCTGAGCATTGTTTTTTTGTGAGTGCAATTTAAAAACATATATACAACATAGCATACAGCATATACAGTAACAATAGTAGGTTGAGTGATTACATGTGACTAGGGCTGCACCATCTTCATTCAGTGATTGTATGTGGTAGGCACTATTATTATGTCCTTTTTTAGGAAATAGAGGCACATAGAGAGGGCTGTTGTGCAGGGTCACACAGGTAATAGGCAGGAAAGCTGAGGAATAATTCTGCTGTCGAGCTTTGGAGGCTTCAGTGGTCCCCTACCTTTTTGGCACCAGGGACCAGTTTCATGGAAGACAATTTTTCTACCAATGTGGGGATGGAGGAGGTGGGGAGTGAGAAGAGAGGAGGTAGAGCTTAGGTGGTGATGGGAGCTATGGGGAGCAGCTGTGGATACAGATGAAGGAAGCTCAGCTGCCCACCTCCTGCTGTGCCCCTCTTCCTAAATTTCATGGAAGACAGTTTTTCTGGGGATTGGAGCAGGGGTTGCAACAGGCAGTGGAGCTGCTCTGTAGCCTGGGTCATGGCCCAGGGGGTGGGGACCACAGTAGATAGCCTCTTCACTCTCTAACTACTGTGTTTCTGATATCTGGGATTGTTGACTTCATAGATGTAGGTCATTCCTTCTCACAGTTGTATCATATTCATAATATGCATTGAATGAATATAATACACAGTTACATCATTCATATTATATATTGAATGAATATAATAAGCAGCATTGAACATTACATGATGGTTAAGACCTGTATAATGGGAATAATAAAAGTTTCTATCTTATGGGGTTGTTGTGAAAATTAAATGGTTTAATTCAAATAAAGCCAGTAGAACAGTACCTGGCCCAGATTAAGTACCCAATAATTGTTATTATCATCAAGTTATTTCTAGTTTTTCACTATTGTTTATATTTCCACAGTAAAGAAAACCCTGTGTTTGTGTATAAAAGTGTCTTTGAGGTGTCTCCCTGTAAGAGGAATCGATGGCTCATGGCGTGTGCATGTTTTCAGTTTTGTTTGGTGTTGCCAAGGCCAGCTGTACCAATTTACACTCCCTATTGCACTGCGTGGCAGTTCTCATTTCCCCACGTCCTCACTAATGATAGTTATTGCCTGACTATTAGATTTGCTGATTTGATGGGTAAGAAATACTATCAGGTTGTTGAATTGGTTAATTTTTAATAATAGTTTTATTGCAATAGAATTCACAAACTGTAAAATTCACCCTTTTAAAGTGTACATTTTAATACTTTAATACTCTTCATTAAACAGTGGTTTTTAGTATATTCACAAGGATGTGCAACCATCACCACTATCCAATTTTAGAAAAAGCTCCTTTGCCATTACCGGTCACTCCCCATTTTCCCTAACCCCCAGCTCATGGCATTGCTAACCTACTTTCTGTCTCTATGAATTTGCCCATTCTGGACGTTTCATATAAATGGAATCATATGTGTTTTTGTCTTGGCTTCTTTCACTTAGTGCAATATTTTTGAGCTTCATCCATGTTATAGTGTATATAAGCACTTTATTGCTTTTTATGGCCCATCACATTTCATTATATGGATGTACGACATTTTCTTTATCCATCCATCAGTTGATGAAAATTTGGGTTGTTTCTATTCTTGGATATTATGAATAATGCTGCTATAAATATTCAGATGCAAATTTTATATGGACTTATGTCTTCCATTTTTTGGTTGTACATATATTTATATACCTAGCAGTAGAATTGCAGAGTCATATATTAACTCTATATTTAACATTTTGAGAAACTGCCAAACTGTTTTCCAAAGTGGCTGTGATTTGACAATCCCATCAACCATATATGAAGGTTCCAGTTTCTCTACACCCTCATCTCCCATACTTACTGTCTTTCCTTTTGATTCTAGCTGTCCTAGTGGATGCAAAGTGGTATCTCATTGTGGTTCTGATGTATATTTCCTGATGATTAATGATGTTGAGCATCTTTTCACATGTTTATTCACCATTTTTATGTAATATTTGGAGGGATGTTCATTCAAACCCTTTGCCCAATGGGGCAGGGGAAATGTAGTTTGTCTTTTTGAATTGTAAGAGTTCTTCATGTATTCTAGATACAAATATCTTATTAGATATATGATTTGTAAATGTTTTCCCCATTCTATAGGATGTCCCAAAAGTCTCCATACAAAGGAAGCATGTTGTAATGAATATTTTGTAAATAAGGTACACTTAGTTACAATTTCCCATTTTCTCTATATATGGCAATTTCTGGGACACCCTGTATAAGTTGTCTTTTTGCTTAATTGATGTGAATTGGTAAATTTTAATATTTGTAATTTTAATGTTTCCATAAAACTTCAATTTTCAAAATTGTCTCAGTATTATCTGCTGAGTAAATCATAAGCCAGACAGCACTGAAGTAAACAACGCTATGTGCACGTAGTATTCCATTCATCAGAAACTATCACATTGTTCACAAAAACAGACTTCCCAAGGTCATCTAGGGGAGCCTCTCAGCTAGTGAAGAAAATTTAGTTTTGATAAAGCAGAGAAGCCTTCATGCCTAATGAGAGTTTGAATTTAATAATGGAAAGCATTGAAAAACCATTCCTCTATTTATTTTCAAACCACTGATTGGTTAATTCAAAAGCATTTGGATATCTGTTTAACCTGACTTCTTCCTTTTTCCTCTTCCTTCCTTCTCCCCTCTCCCCTCCCTGCTTTCTGTTTCTATTTCAGATTGAAAATGGCTCAGGAATCAGTCAGCAAGTTGACATCAGAGAAGAAAGTGGAGACGAAAAAAATCAACCCCACTGCTAGTCTGGTGAGACGCATTTTTCAGCATAACCTACATATTTTTCATTATAACTGAGATGCACCCAGGAGTGTGCCTGAATTTAAAGGATAAAACTTAGAGATGAAACGTACTATCCAGATTCTCAGTTCCCATCCCAGAGTAGCACATGGTGAAAGAGTATGGGGGGGGTGGGGGGAAGGGGCAAAACAGAGCCTCTTATGTCTTTCCTGCAAGCCCAACAAAGGTCCTTTCTGATCAACCAAATTCAGTCACTTGCCATTTCACATCTTTCCACACCCCATCCACACTGCAGTCCTCCTTATCTCAAAGTATTTGTTCCTGAAATGTTTAAGTACATTCACTCTCATCAGTTCGTTTTCCCCATTAAAGAAAAGGGCAGGGATTATCCTGTGTTGATAGTTGGGAAAATTGAGATGCAGAAAGACACAGCCCACTCAGGGTCACTTGGCAAGTGGATGACAAAAACCACGACCCAATTCAGGGTCTCCTGACAATCTCTCCCTGTGCTGGAAATCAAACCTCCTCAGTATTCCTAGATTTGAGAGAACGTTGTCTTCTGAAGTCCAGCTTTCAGTAGGGAACACAGTAAATGTGCACATAGATGTCACAGACAACAGTCGGCATAGCTGAATGGCTGGGAACCTGGGATGTTGAAGATGAAACTGTCTTGGGTTCAAATCCCAGCACTACCACTTAATAGTTGTAAAACCTTAGTAAAGTTACTTTGTTTCCTTCTCTTCAGTGAAAAGAGGAAAATATTACCTTTGCTTTAGGGTTATTTTGAGGAAACTACAAAAAACATGTATAGTACCTACCGCATAATAACAGCTCAATAAATATAAGCCATTTTTCTTGTTACTATGAATTCGAGCAGCTGTGGTGGACCCTGCAATGGGAAGCAGCAATGAGTGGTAAGAGGGAGCATAACTCTCACCACTTGGGTTTTCCAAGCCTCCCTTCTCTGGGCCCTGATGTCCCACAACTACCTATTTTATGCTTTCAGATTACAAGTACTTTTGCTTGGCTGCTTTAAATCTCTTGAAGATCTAAGTGGGGTCTAAATTATAAAGCGAGATTATTTCCGTTGATTAACCATGGTGTCTCTCATACCAACCCCATCAGCAGCTAAATGAATGCTGCAATGCGAATGATGAATGAGAAATGGGGAAGTCAGGGCCATGGAGCGTGATCAGGTAAAGCTGTGGGTAAGGCACATAGCCCCTACCTAAACGGACACAGCCTGTATGCCCATTTCATGGTGTATTCATTATACTCATTTGGATGGTTTCCAGTGACAGTGGGCTCAACCCTGATTTTTATCTTCTTTTTTCATCAGCCCCTACCATTTTCTCCAGGCCTTTGATTTCGGCCTCTATACTGACTTTTACAACCAAACCTGTTCTCCCAGGGCAAAGAGAATGGGCTCACCCTACAGACAAAGGGGAGACAGTGGATTTACTATGGCATCTTTTCTAGGCTGACCTCCACTGTGAGCAAGCCCCCAAATTGTTAGGGGTTTATTATTATTATTATTGTTGTTGTTGTTGTTCTTTATTTCTTTGTGTGGGTGGTGGGTGAAATTAGAGAAGAGCTTGTAAACTGATTCCCGATTCAATCTGACAAGTCAAGGATGGGGTCTAAACTCAGAATGGATATCTAAAATTCATCAACTTAGGTTTATATCTAGGCCTTTTTAATAATTCACTTCAACATCATATGTCATAGATCACAAGCAGCCCTTCTCAAAGGGCCTCTCTATCTGCTTTTTGCAAAAGAGTGTACTTTTCCCTTTTCCTTTTTAGCCTTCCTCTAGGAGCAGACACACCCCTCCTTGCCATACTTCATATGTTTACCTCTGTAGCGTCACAGAAACACTGAGGGTCCATGTTTCTGTTTGGTATGCTCTGGTTTATTTTTACATCTTCCCAGCAGACTTTCATGCCTTCCCCTTTAGAAGGGTGTTCCTCAGAAGGAACCTCAGAACACAGCACAATACCCATGGCAAAATGGATCTGCCATTCTGCAGAGACTAAATCTGCTTATCCTTCATATTGCACGGCTTTTGTTCAGTCCTGCCAAGTTGATTGTTTGCAGATACAGTCAACTTGGAAACAGTGATTTTTTTTTCAGATCTAGACCCCCTGAAAACTATTTCTTAAGCATTCCCTAATTCCATTAGTGAGCCAACAGCGGGGATAGGAGAAATCTTCGAGCAGTACTACAAAGTAAGAGTCCTTGTCACAAAAAAGAGAACAGAACAGAGCAGCCTGGCATGGTAAAGTTCAGTGTTATAGATGGATATGGTCAGTTGATTGGCTGGTTGTTGATTTTTTTTTGTTTGGGGGGGTATAAGAGTGATAGGTTGGGAGGGGCAGGTGACTAAGGGCTTAGGGAAAGAGGGATAGAGACAGTCTAATTCCTGAGGTGTTTGGTACAATTCTACTCAGCGTTCTAGATCAATATTTGAAAATTTTGTTAAAATTTGAGAAATGAAAAATGATAGAAATGATAATAAATTCATATTTTCCCATTAACAGAAAGAAAGACTGCGCCAGAAGGAAGCCAGCGTGGCCACCAACTAAGATGGAGACAAGACACATGGAAACGATGACAGTGGAGATGTATGTAGGACTTCCCATGCTCCTTTGCAACACCAATGCTGCAGGAAGTTCTTGAAAGATATGTTACTAAATGTTTGTCTTACTCATCTCTTTCTGAGATCGTCTGCAGAAAGCGCTTCGTGCCTTCTTTAAGAAGTCCCTTATTTTGAGCCACAGGAACAATGAAAAGCTATTTAAGGGAACATTGCAGAACGTTTGATAATTGTTTCTTTTAGAGGTCCAAAGTCCATTCTATTGTAAGACTAGAAAAAAATACCAAGATTTTCCGATTATTTTTTTTAAGCTGAGATTTCAAGCTTTGTAACCCAAGCTTAATATACCTTGTGACGGAAGAAGAGAAGGATCTTTTATGACAGTCACCTTGGGAGAGTTGAAGCTTTGGTCTTTGCACACTGCTGTTTGGATTATTGGTCTTAATTCTGATCATGTTGCAGCAAGATCCTGTAGCATCTCTCTCACCAAAAATGTTGCAACTCACCAAAATTATTTTTAAAGAAGTCCAAGACTGTGTATTTCCCAGAATAGAGAAGTGATTTTGTTATTGCTGCTGTTCATGTAACGGAAAGGAGAAACAATGGAATTGTACATGGGTAGAGAGGGGAATAAATAGCCATAAACTTCATCCTGGAGAACAAGTTATGATACAGGGAGTTATCAGTCATTAAGTGAGGGCCCATTCTTTTGCTTTTGTATCAGTTCATTGTTGGTTTCCTGGGCCAGCAGAGATTCTACACCTCAGCTCCCAGAAGAAACTGTAATCCTTAAGCAGGAACAGCCTTGGGGGCAAGCATACCTGCTTGGACATGTGACACCTTTCACATTTCAAAGTATTTGTGAGTGGGTAATGCCATGTTCGTACACAGCTGAGTTCCTCATCGTGTTCTTTGTGTACAGCTGGACCTCTCCTACCACCTCCAGGAGCGCAAGTGCAACGCGCAGCGTTCTATCATGACTGGCTGGCAGGCAGGTGAAATAGGGTGAAGCAGAAATCTTTGATGTTAAAACACTTAAAGGCAGGAAAAAAAGTTCATTACATCAAAATGAAAAGATGGTGATTATATTAATACTAAGCTTCGAGTAGAAGACCCCGCATAGCCAGCTTTTTCTAACCCTGGCTCTCGAGTCACAGACAAAAACCACCTTGGACCTCTCCAGGACATTTTTGCCATTAAGTGGCCACTCTTTGAATCTGTCTTATGAGGGGAGAAGAAAGAGGGTTGAAGCTGGATCGAGAATAGGATGAAAGACTGTCATTTTAGGCCTTGAAAGAAGAGAGGCCCAAACTTTTCTCCTACAATTGGTGGAAGACAATCTAGAGATGAACAAGAATCTTAAATTCCTTCCTGATCCAGCTGCCACGTGTGGCCTTCCCCTTGACCCGCATCTTTTCAGAACCCTTGAACTTTCCAGGTGCCTGAGTGTCTTCCCAGGATATGCCTGCCAGTCATCAGCCCCTCTCAGGGACACTCCTATACCGGATTCAGCTAATGAAAGCAGCATCATATCCTAATATAATGCCAGCCTTGGAAACCAAGAATGCACCGGCAGGATCCAATCAAGTCACAGAAGCCATATACATGCAGGTGCTAACCACCTTCCCTGATGGTTCAAAAGAGAGGAATATGGTAACATGGTTGGATTTTGTTTTTAATTCAAAATAAAGGAATGAGACAAGCAAAATAGAAAAGCTGAATAAGAAACACAACTGAAAAGGCTTGAAGTTGATTGTGAGCAGGAAGCTTTTCATATCGCTTTCTTATATAGTTCCTCTTCATTTTCACTGAACGGTGAAGAAAGCCAAGGGAATTCATCAATTTAAAACAAATTCCACTTACTGCCATCCTGTGCTCCGTGGCATTCCTTCTAGTGTTATCATGTAGAAGAAAAGTGCTATCTTTGCACATGCCATGGAAATTGGCCCTGAGTTCAGGGAGCCCAGTGGAAGTCTGGAACTTTTTGGGTCCTTCTGGATCCTTTATAGACTTGATGGGAGAGAGCAGCAGGAAGTTTTCAGTGGAGTTGCTGCAGTCCACTTCAGGCCTCTAAGTAGGATTCTCACAGAAATCCCTGAAGGTAAGCAGGACTGTCACTGTGGGCCATATCACCCTTCAGGGACAACCTGGCAAAGAACCAGTGCTGAAGAATAATGAGTGGAAACATTTGAGAGCTAGACAAATGCAGCCCACTGTGGATTTCATCCTAGTGAACAGACTAAAATTTTGCAGTAAAATGCCTATTTCTCAAGAGCAAGGTTTTCTGCCTCTGTTGGGGAAATCTAGTGGTTGTGTCACACTAGTGAAATGTATTACATTAAGTGCGTCCAGACACCATGGCAGAATCTCCATTGTTCTCACCCAGTTTGAACCCTGTCTGAGATGCCCCCTACCAAGTCCATTGAAGTACCACATTGTTGGCCCAGCCTTCATTGCTAACTCAAGTTGATGCTCTGTAAAGGTTAACGAGAATTTTCTCAAGGCAGTCCATCTACAGTAATCTGGAGGCCTTTCAAATGATCCCTCTGAAATACAGTTGAGATTGTGTTCAACGCAATAGGTGTGTCTGAACTTTTCACTGGAGAAGAGGTGGTTGGGATACCACTTGGCAGCTCGAGCACTTCAGACAAGCAGGCTAAGTGGCTGTTCTAGGCGCAGCCCTCCCTGAACTAGAAGGGAGAGTGGTCTTCTCATTCAACAAGAAATACTACCCCGTGTTTAACCGGACATGCACACCTGACATGCTAGTAGGACTCTAAGCAACCTTCACTTATGAACAACTTCGTCTCTTCCTAGCCAACCAAGATTCATTAAATAAGAGCGCAGATTGACAACAGTTCAGATTCTTGCACGAGCCATCGGCACTAATCATTAAGCACACAAGTATATCATACATTACGCTAAAACATTACATAGAAAGGTAGGGAAAAAGCATCAGTCCTGTGAGATGTCAAAAATAAGGTTAGGAGCTGTGCTGTGTATGGGTTTTAACTCAAAACGAGGCAGCTTACTGGGGAAAAAAAAAATAGAAAAGTATGGCCACACAGAAATGGATGTATATGATGATAGTGGGGACCCAGAGGTCACGGGGGATGGCCCTGCTGCCCAGTAGTTGCCTTTTGAGTCTTTAAGTTGATGTCGATGATGCCTGTCACACTCACACTGCAACTAGCCAGGAATTATGGAGAAAGATTTTCTGAACTCTGAATAGTAGGATAAGGAAACCTAGTGGTGCTATTACATCTTCAGCATTCTAGCTGAAACAGATTGCCAGTACAGCTGAGGAATCGAATGTCAGATGAGATGCTGATCTCCCCTTGCCCAGGAAGGACCATAGAAGCTGCAAACCTGCTAAGCCTCCTATGGACACCTCCTGTTTACATAAGGACAGGCATTTCCTAAATGAAAAGTTCATATACTGCTAATAAAGAAACTGGAAAAACTGAAGGAAGGAATCAAACATGGTGATACTAAATACTTCCAGCAATATAAAGGAGTCAACAGTATGTTTTTATGTGTTTTTTTTTTCCCAATCAGATGTAGCAAAAGTGATATACGCGTATTTTTGGTAAAGATTTGTCCATTGGCCTAGGGTTTCCTATCTCTCTATAGATTATGGTGCCTGCCATGGGGACGTTTTCATTTTAATTACATTCTTCCTTTCCTGAAAGCTGTATGTTTTCATTTCTGTTTCTATTTCTCCCTTGCCTGGCATCACTGATGCAGAACATTGCACCCAGCAGCACAGCAAACTGCACCTGGTCAGTGCATGAACGGGAACTGGCAGTGCAGACGTACAGGTTCTTGCCCAGTAACCAGGCTGCAGCGTTGACAGGGGGACCTCTTCATTCCCTGACATCCTAAATCAGTCTGTTTTGTAGTACTTGCCCCTTCACCCCTAAATAAGAAATATAAGATCAATTTAGAGATTTATGTGGGAAGGGAATAAGTCCAAAAAATGTAGCCCCTCCCCCTAAAAAAATATTAAATATTTTATTTGCAAGGTAGTTTAAATTGTCTTTAAAAAATTGCTAACAAGAAGTATTTGTTAGATTTGAGCTTTATTTTTCTTTGATGCACCCTGTTCTAATGAGAAAACATTACAAAGGGGAGATGGGAAAGAAAAAGCTTCAGCAGATTTGGTCATCTACAAATTGGTTTATAAGTTCCCAAATCACAGGGAAAAAAAATAAAAGGACATACTATGAAATGCAATGTTGTATGAGTCCTATGCACATAAGAATTTGAACAGCTTTGATGGCTGATGACTATGGACAAAGTAAGAGGTACCTACTGCCTGCTTGAGATTTCAGCCTAAACCAGGCAATTTTTAGAATATGGATTTAAAAGAGCCAAGAATTATCTCAAATAGTTTATTTTTGAAATAGCTGGATATATGAAGAAGTGGTGTGATATAGTAGGAGAAATGCTAGACCATCAAAATTTCCTTAGTCTGGGTCCTCAAGCAGTTTTTAAGTCAGTGGACCAACCAGAAGACCATGAGTACCGTATTTCATATATTAACTATCTTGCCTTTAGGAACCCTGCAACTGAAGAGAGTGGACTGAACAAAGGAATGAACTTTCATTCATGTCTGCTACTTTGTCCTTGTGAGGAGATCTGCAACACAGATGGAACAAGTCTATCTAACCAAGCTGATAGGGATTGAAAAGAATGGATAATTTTTAGCCTTCCCAAAATGCAAATAACTTGTTGGATGTATTTCCATTTTCCAGCTATAGAGAGAAACAAGCCAGCTGCTTGGAAACTCTTATTGGTACAGAAGTGGCTTATAGAAAAGCACCTTCAGAAACCAGACTCAGCAGATCTTTCTCCTTTAGACTTACATAGTAGTATTCATAACTGAATTAGCAATTGAATCCAGGCATAACCGGGCTCAGTTATAAAGCCATATGTGACTGGGAGTCTCATTTTGTGTCATTTCTGCACACCCGTCAGCTGTTGACACCTTTTTAGAGGCACTGAATTTTAGTTTCACAATTCTTCATTTCCCTTCCCAAGGAGTGGGCAATCTACCAGATTCTCCCAGATCAATGCTTTGCTGGGAAGTAATGAATTTCAGAGACTTTTAACATGTCAAACTTGAAGCCAGTTCAGTAGCCTTATTTGTTCCAAGACTCTTAGCCAACACTGTGATATAACCTTAGCTTTTGGGAAATTCATGTAGTTAACAACTTACTTGGAAACATGAAGATATTAAAATGGCAGCTGGCTCTGTCTCTTAAGCCACTATGCAGTTTCTACTGATGAGAGATTAGGGAAGCAAATGGAGCTTCATTCAGTAGGTCGGCTGTCCTCAAGTAGAATTGATTGGACTCATGTCCCCAGCCCCTCTCCTAACTACCTTGGTGACAACCAATGGCATAGAGAACCCTTTCTTTTCATCTCTCCCTGCTGTGATATGGTGGTTCCCTTCAGTCAGTAGCTCACATGAACTCCAGACTTTATTGCATATTACAACTATGAACTACTTGATCTGGGGAAGACTGACTTAATCCCAATTTTTTTATATGAAAGTGATAGCAAGAATCATTCATTTATTCTTCTACATTCTATCTATACTCATATAATTTTCTATTTTTTTAATCTTAAACATACTGAGAATCTCCAGTCTTTCCTAAAAGCTGATCCAACTATATCTATGGGCTATTTTCTTATGCTTTCTGTGAAACTTGATAGCATAATGCACATGACAGTATCGTTTCAGGCAGAAATTCACATCCAGAGAATTTGGCACGAAGTAAACAACCCTTCTACCACACTTGAGCTCTCCTGTGAGCTGAACATTCTACCCCTGCAGACATGTAGGGTCTTTCTACCTTTGAAACTGTAAGAGTATCTTAAAAGACAGTGAATATTTCTCATGTATAAAATGAACTGCCAATGCATTATTGCATAGGTAGTACATCAAGTATAAGAAATCAAATGTTTTCAGGCATACATTAGCAGTGGCTTGTCAACATCTTTGCCACATTTTTATCTACTTTTCTTCATTGTTCTCTTCCAGGGCTTTCTTCCACTTTCATGAAGCAGATGCTTTTTTGGTTTTTTTTGTTTTTCATCTAGGTTAGTTTTCCAGGTCCATTTTTCAAAGATGAAAAGTAGTCCTATAGACCACTGAGTATTCAGAGAATTACTGTCTATTTCTGCAATGGCATAAACAGACATAGATGTTTAGGAACAAACAACTCTCTGGTAACTCTTGGGATGGATTTTGAATTCCAGATCTCTTTCTAGGATCTGTATTAAAAAGTATATAGAATACAAATATTGTATTGCTCTTCCCAGTAAGGGGCTTAGAAGGACATTCAAAATCTTTCCATTTTAGATATGTTTGCATGAATTATAAATAGCTCTTTTTTTCCTCTCTTCTTGCTAACTTGTCTCTAGATATAACCTTATTTCTTCAGATGTCTGACTACTAATGCATAAAGAATGTAGTCTCAGCCCCACTGAGATCCTTAAAAGGCTTCCATTTCCATTGGAAACAAATCTATGAGTGAGAGGGAAAATCTAGTAACAATTCTCTTGTTTGCTCACAATGACACAAATGGGATTTTAGGGTCTACCAAATGGATCTATTCCAAAATAATTAATTTTATAATTCTGTAATTTCCCAAGACACAAATAATGTGGCCTGTCAGCTAGATGTATAATCTTCAAAGAGTATATACATTAAGAAAAAAGGATTTCCCTTTAAAGAACCAATCTGAGATACTCCTAAAAAGGCAGAAACTTTTAAAATTAGGAATTGTATAATTTTTAAGAATCTTTAGAGAAAACATGTCATTGATTCATCATAGTCTTTTCCTTTCATTGAGTTTTAATTTAGACCAACATGGGAAACAGGGTGTCCTTGGAATTTGATTTAGGGATCGTGTTTTGGCCTGGAAAATAAGGACGGGCCTGCATGCTCAGAACCTAAATGAAGTCAGTCAGCATCCTAGAATGAGTCAGACCTAAGAGAGATGTTAGTTATTTCAACAGCTTTAGGCCTTAATTTTCTTAGCAACTCTCTGGATCTTTGAGGCTGCTTCCTAAGATGCATTTGATCCATGCAATTATTTGTCGTCATTCAGCCTTTAGAGATTGCAGACAATGGGATGAAGGAGAAACACAGGAGACAGGGGAGGAGAAAAATTTGCACAAGGCCAGTGCAATGTTTTGCTGATAGATGGCATCGTTAGGGAGCTGGTATTTTTTTGCTGTGATTGTATCATGGGCAACTTTTCAATGGAAATTCAGGGAATCTGTGTTGAGCAAATGGGAGTGCCCGGTATCTTGTACTGGTAAGTGCCATACAATATAATGGAAAAGCAGGTACCCTGGTAAAACTGGTCTGGACTTGGTTTAATAACTCTTATCAATTTCACATCTATGGGGTTATTTGTCCATAAACCTTCCTGTTTTCTCCATGCCTGTTCAAAAGTCATTCTGGCATCTAGCTTCATTTCACTTTTCTCATCTCGATATTGCTGCTTTAGCTTCCTTTTCCTTCACATCCCATAGGTGTTTTTTTTTTTGGTTTTTTTTTTTCCGACTTTACAGTTTCTCCCAGCCCAGCTTTTTTCATCTCCCTGCATCATAGACAACCTGATGTCTCCCTAGGCCCCCACTCCATCCCCTCACACCCCGTGCTCCATACTTCAGCCGTTTGGACAGGGAGTTCCACTGTCACCAAGGAGCCTGGGTGAGACACACTCCTGTGACTGCCTCTTGTTAATGTCAGCATCACCTCATCACTTAGGCAAAAAGGAAAATCCATAAAAGAGACGGAAAATACGTTTCTTTTTCATTTTATTCTACTTTATTTTAAGAAGGTTAGGGTGGGGGGTTGGTTCTAGTCCTTCTCAGTTTCTCGTAGATTTTACTTTAAACTGTCTAATTAGGAGCCATTCTTTTGATAAATTTATAAATCAGACCAGGTCACCAGCTATGATACATAAAGACTGTATTTTTGAATTACAAGTAACTTTCTGTGCTGCTGGGCAAATTGAGTTAATTCTGTGCAAACAAACATTTTGACTCATAAGGCTTTTTATTGCCACTCCATGCTGACTGCTACTCATGATTCAAGCATCTGCCCCTAATCTGAATCAGGAGGTTGACACTTTGTGGCTATTTTCAGATTCACAGTAACTGTTACACTCTTGGAAGCACTTAAAGAAAGTTTATGCATGTCTTAAATAGTCAATCATTTGACCTGGTAAAGTGCTGGCTTTTCTGTTTAATTATTAGACCAGTATATTGATATAATCTTAAAGGATTTTAAGCAATAACAAAGACAGTTTGGCAAAGGAGAAGGCACTTTAAAGACGTGAAACCTTACATGCTCTTGGATATTTTTAAACATAATAAGCTAATTTGATTCAGGTATTTTTTTCCCTTTAAATTTTTAAAAATATATATTTCTAATTTGCCTATTTAATTTTGTCAAAGTGGAGAAATGCTCATGAGTTGAATTTGTAAATGTCATTTGCAACCCAATGAAGTATTTATTTTTAAAAAGAAAAGGTGAAGGAACCAATATTGACTTGTACATAATGAGAATTATGTTATATATATATATATATTTTTTCCTCCTTGACACTGGTCACCATATCAAGTGTATTTTTGTACATAATATGTATTGGTTAGAAATTGTAGATTGTTTATTCAAAGAATTCTATCTGTGATTATATTTATCGTAACCTGTTGATACCTCTGTTAATTTCTTTTAAGAGATAGAACTATATTTTTTGGAAATTGCAGAGAATTGCATTCATGGCTTTCAATTGTAAATATGCTAAGGATATTTTAATAAATCTTGGTTTCATGTCCATCTGGTGTGCAATGAAGACTTGTTTTCAGGAAGCATTTAAAGCAGTATGCGCAGTACTCTAATGTAGAATATACGAGTCATTTCTAACTTACATTACCACTCAGGTACAGTATCACCACTGAGCTGCGAGCTGGGTCTCAGTAAGTCCATCATTGATATTTCCTCCTTCCTCCCCTTCCACCCTAATAACAGTGGGCAATCTGGCTAGTCATTCAAGGCTAACGACCAAGAGACAAGGCCAGCTGGCACTGTCTCAGCAAGGCTGACCCAAAAGCAATACTGCCTAAACATAAATTGCCCAAGGAGAGGGACACACAGGGATTAGTGACTTCAAGTTATGAGTCGAAAACAATAAACTAGGGAAACAGAACAAAAATATTTGTATTCTGGCACTAAACACAAGAGGTACAAGTTCTTTTCAAGAATGATATGAAGCGTGCAGGTATTTTATAAACATTAGAACACTTTAAGCAAACCACTCTTCCATTATACAAGTGTATTTACTTACATTATACAAGTGTAATTATGTTTGTTGATTTCAGCATATTATGGGGGTACAAATATTAAGGTTACTTATATTGCCCTTACCCCTCCCCCCCTCGAGTCAGAGCTTCAAGTGTGTCCATCCCTCAGTTGGTGCGCATCACACTCGTTACGTATGGATATACCCATCCCCTCCCCCGCCACCTGCCCAACGCCTGATAAATGTTACTCCTATATGTCCACTTAGGTGTTCATCAGATAATACCAATTTGCTGGTGAGTACATGTGGTGCTTATTTTTCCATTCTTGGGATACTTCACTTAATAGAATTGGTTCCAGCTCTATCCAGGAAAATACAAGAGATGCTATATCACCGTTGTTTCTTATAGCTGAATAGTATTTTAATTGATTCATTTGTTCAGTGCTCCTGAGTGCCACACCCTATTTAATTCTAGATGTTAGCTGAAATATGCCTGATTATGTATGGCAACATTTAATGAAGAGACATAGTTATTGGCTAGGAAGACATTTCATCACTAGGAAATTTTCCAAATCGTAGTCTTTGAGCTGCAAAAATCTTTGGACATTGAAGAAAATCTGTGAAACTACTGAAGTTCAAAGGACTTGCTGAAAATCACATTCAGTGTTAATGAACATTTCAAGACTAGAACCCAGATCTCTTGACACCAAGGCCAAAGCCCTTCCAACTGCTCAATTCATTCATCACATTAAACTGTTTTCCTCAAAATACTCCATTATGGAAAAATATCCTAGAACTGTTGTTTGAAAAGTCTGAATGCTACTAACATTTTGTAGAAAACATTATTAGAGTTGTGTTCGGAATTATAGCACCTAGGAGAAGGTGGAGACCAGACTATCATAAGGACCTAAGAAAAAATACCAGTCCACCTCTGGAACAATCTCCTCTCTGGTGTAACCGAGATTTACTCTCCCTTACTGAATTAATAAGTGTACATTTTGGTCTATTCTTTATAAATAGTCTGTGTAGTGTATGGTCCACTTAGCAGGCTGTCTTAGTACATGAGCTGCTGTAACAAAATACCTGAGGCTGGTAATTTACAAACAGGAATGTATTAGCTTACAGTTCTGGAGGATGCAAACTCCAATATCAAGGCACGGGCATCTGGCACGGGCCACCGTACTGCATCATCGCGTGGCAGAAGGCCAAAGAGGCAAAAGGAGGCCCAACTAGCCTTTTATAATGGCATTAATCCCACCTATGAAGATGGCGCCTTCATGGCCTGATCACCTCTTAAAAGTCCCTCCTCTTAATATGGTTACAATAGCAATTTAACATGATTTTTAGAGGGGGCAATCATTCAAGCCATAGCAAAGTCCATACATTCCTGAGTGTCTAGCTGCCCACTTTCACCTTGCCGTGGTTGTCTTCATAGAAATAAAAGACTTTACAGTTGGCCAGCACTGGCCCTGCCTACCACACTTCACTTTAGATGCCTCTGAGTGAGTGTAAATCTTCTCGAGTTCACATTTGCTTCATGCCTATCGTTGTACAATGATAAATGGTAAGAAATGGTAATTATGTTAGTTATTAGTTTCTGTATAACAAAATACCCCAAAACGTAGTGCATTAAAGCAACAATAATCCCTTCTTATTTCTTGTGGCTTTTGTTGATCAAGAATTTGGAAAGTGCTCAGTTGGCGGTTCTCAGTTGGAGTCTCTCATGGGTCATTGTAATATATCAGTTGAGTCTGTTATCATCCTAGATCTGAAAGGCTCGAGTAGGGCTGAGGTTGCACTTCCAAGGTGGCTGACTGGGCTGGCAAGTCAGTGCTGGCCCTTACGCTGGAGGCCTCAGTTCCTCTCCACATGGGTCCCTTGAGTGGTCCAAGGTGAAACATGGAATGTTTTGGGTTTTTTTGACCAAGGCTCAGAAGTCACACCAGGTCATTTTCATCATATTATATTGGTTAAGGCATTTACAAAGATCTGCTCAGATTAGGGGAGTGAGAAACTAGACCCCACCTCTTAATGGAAGAATGCTAACACTGCATTGTAAGAGCATGTAGGTTAGAATATATATATATTGGTGCGACTGTCTTTGGAAAGTACAGTCTACCATAGTAGCTTGCCTTGTTTTTTTCTATCTAGTTTTCCTCCTCCCTCTTCCCTTGTTCTTCTTTTTGCCCTAAAACTAAGTTTTAGGTTTCTTTTACAAGATTTCCCCTGCTACTTTTTCCCAAATCTTCCCTCTCTCTGCCTGCCTATCAAAGCACAGACATGCTTGTCTTCTCTGAATTAGAGGTATTCTTTACTTTGAAGAAAGAGAGATGTATCCTAACTGGTGCAGGATATAACTGACTTTATAGTTTATAACTGACTTTGTAAATGCTGGTGGAGAAAAGGACTCAAAGGTGATCCTAGGATTTTACTCTGAAAGCATAAGTCTGTGTTTCTTATGAGTAGGAGAGATGCTGGCCCCGCTGAAGCTGCCTCTCAGCCAGGAAGTAACTGAAATCACTCAGAGGCTTAGAATAGAGCCTCCTTTGACTGTTACAGTAATAGGACATAGGTATTAATGAAATATTAATATTATTCAGCCTTAAAAAGGAATGAAATTCTGACACATGCTACGACATGGATGAATCATAAAGATACCACGCTAAGTGAAATAAGCCAGTCACAAAAAGACAAATATTGTATAATTCCGCGTATACAGAATACCTAGAGTATAAAAATCATAGAGAAAGAAGGCCGGGCGCTGTGGCTCACGCCTGTAATCCTAGCTCTTGGGAGGCCGAGGCGGGCGGATTGCTCAAGGTCAGGAGTTCGAAACCAGCCTGAGCAAGAGCGAGACCCCGTCTCTACTATAAATAGAAAGAATTTAATTGGCCAACTGATATATATATAAAAAATTAGCCGGGCATAGTGGCGCATGCCTGTAGTCCCAGCTACTCGGGAGGCTGAGGCAGAAGGATCACTGGAGCCCAGGAGTTTGAGGTTGCTGTGAGCTAGGCTGACGCCACGGCACTCACTCTAGCCTGGGCAACAAAGTGAGACTCTGTCTCAAAAAAAAAAAAAAAAAAAAAATCATAGAGAAAGAAAGTAGAAAGGAGGTTGCCAGGGGCTGGGGGTAGAGGGAATGGGGAGTTATTGTTTAATGAGTGTGGAGTTTCAGTTTGGGAAGATGAAAAGTTCTGGAAGTGGATGGTGGTTATGACTAAACAATGTGAATGTATTTAATGTCCCTAAAGTCTACACTTAAAAATGGTTGAAGTGGTTTTATGTGTATTTTACCTCAATATAAAGATAATAGTATGTATGTATTAAGGGCTTCCTATATGCCAGGTGCTATATTAAGCATTTTATATGTATGACTTTGTTTAATCCTCATAATAATACTATAAGGTAAAGATAACTACTCTCCCCATTTTACAGGTCAGAAAACTGTGGATTGGAGAAGTTCATAACTTTCCCATGCAATTCATAAGTTGGGAAAACCAGAATTGAGACACTCCAAAGAGACACTTCCAGCCACTATCCTATCTTTCTAAGGTCATGGAAGTGGAATTAGCTGATTCAGGAGAAAGAAGGATATATAGACAAAGATTATAAGGCAACTTGGAGAAAGATGATCTCCCAAAATCCACATTTTTATTGACATGTCCTCAAGAGAAGTCATGACCCTAAGAAAATTATAAGAGCAGCACAGCATAAGAAAAAGGCATGGCCTTTGAGGTTAGACCCAATCTTATATCCCAGCTCTGCCACTTACTGACCTGGTGACCTGACTTAAGTTACAGCACTTTAAGCCTCAGATTCCTCATCTAAAAATAGGGATTAAAAAATATCTCAAATGGTTTGCATAAAGTCATCCAGAATAAAAAGAAATAATGCAAAAATTCCTGACACAAAGCAATAAACATGTCTTTAGACATTTGTCTTGAAGAATGCTTTACTAATGAAAAGGATCTCGGCATGGCAAAAAGAGCCTATGCCAAGGGGTAGAATAGCCCACATGAGAAGTAGACAGTCGATACAGAAACCCTATATCTGCATTTGCAGATAAGTCAAAGGAAACAACAGCAGGGCCTTGCCCAGGCAGGAATGTGTGTTTGCAAATTCACCCTTATGTCAAGCCATGGTAGGTAATTTGTATTTACTCATCACTGAGGACCACTAGAAAAGCGGGATATATATATATATATATTTTTAATGTACTTGAAAAACTTTGGAGAAGTCTTTACAAAGTAAAAATTACTGAAGTAAGATTTGAGAGAAGATCCAAAACCAAAGAGAGAACACTGATGTTTGGCATTGCTTTCCACCTGGGGATTCTGAAAGAGATTACTGAGAGGTTGGGAAGCCTTAATGTGTTAGGGGGGGCAAACAGAGATCGGGTCCCAATGTGTATAAACCTGATAAAAATCCCCTTGTTTGGGGGTTAAGGAAGTAGTTCTCAAGTGCTAGGAGATATTGGCAATATCTGGAGACATGTTTGATGGTCACAACTGGGAAGGGGGACTATTGGCACCTA